CTGTTTGAACAAGCCTTCTTATAATTGGCGCCATTTTTGAAGTATTCGCGTGCATTTTCAAATTCTCAATAGATTAGGTCAGGAATTCCCATTCACTTCCATTAATAGTTTGTATTCAAATCACCAATAATTAACTATTCTGAATCTTTGTGAAAGAAGTTCATGGGAGCCTGTGACACTGCCTTGGGCATTTTTGAAATTCTTGTGGAAAAGATCCTTTGTTGAGTTGTAAAAATCGGTTCAAATTTACTCCTAAATAATCACTCAAACGAATCAACAATACATTTTCGGCGCAATGTAGATTGGCGGATCGTGCAAAGCAGGGGTCACCAAACTACGGCCCGCGGGCCGGATCCGGCCCGCGACGTCATTTTATCCGGCCCGCGGCGTCATTTTATCCGGTCCGCAATAACACACAAAAATGGCTAAATTTTTTTCCAAGGAAGATTTTCACGAGCATCGTCGTCTTTGTTTATATCGTAACATTGCCCAATCGGCAAGATGCAAAAAAGTGACGTAATAAAAGGGCCTTTCCGCATCCGCTCAGACACTTTTGTCACCCTGACAGATTTTCAGTCATGGTTGTAAACAAAACTTCGTTTTTGCGACTTTGAATGCTACCAGTACGTAACGTTTTCTGCGATACACTTGTACACTCGTGGCGCGTGCTTTCGACGAAACTGTATGTTTTTTTGTGCTAAAATAAACGTCGAATGTGCATTTTGTGCTAACAGTACTGTAATCCCTCGCGTACTGCTCCAATTTCAAAAGCCACACTAACTTTTGTACTTATTTAATGCGGATATTCATGTAGGTATATGTTACAAAAAAATTGAAGTTCATCCGATTTAAATAAAAACTATTCCAGTGGAAAGATCTGGGTAAAAATAGAAAATAATACCATGTTTATAATAAACGGTCAAGCAATAACGAAGATATCGGAATTTTAGTACCGCCCGACAGGCCAATTTTTTCCATAATGATTGTATTACTTTTTGATAAGAACTGAACTAAATATAGAAAAATAACACATATCAATCACTAATCTTTCGATGTGCGTCACATCTATGGTATATTGAGACTATTTCAGGATTTTATTCTGACAATGGTCATTGACACCGCCGAAAGATCGTCGCAAATAAACGCTGCAGTTGTGCATGATAGTTTGACAGTGGTTCATTGTGGGTAATAATAAACGGTGTTCTGATTGTACGAACTTCATAAAAATTGTATTAAGTTAGGAAAGAAATACACACGTCCACATAAATTTTATTGGTGTCCATAGACAATACCATTAATTTGAACTACGTATAACTGGAGCGTAATTTTTAAAAGCGTCGAATGTTGGCAAATTTATGCGCAAATGAAAAAAATCAAATACCAGATAATAGTTGTTTATTTTATCTAAATTATGTCAAAATTTCATAGAATTCCAAGCTACAGCAGTTAGTCGTTTTTATGAGCGGTATTTCAACACGGCGTAACGGTACCCAGCAGACGCGATGCCCACATTTTTTGCCGCGGATTTTGTAACATTTCTAATTCATAGCAGCAACGTTTTGATAACAGCTAAATTCAGGATAGTTGTCTAGATATAGGAATCTTGTTAATTTTTTTCATAGGATGTTCTCGATCTATATTGTGCGATATTCCCAACATTTGTGAATTTATTGTATTGCATTGACAAAAATATTCATCCGGCCCGTTTCAACACAATTTGAGTCATATCCGGCCCGCGGTCAAAAAAGTTTGGTGATCCCTGGTGCAAAGGGAGAATAAATCACAGCGCGTAAACTTTTTGTAGCCTTTGTAACTAACGTTTGGTTCTGAAAACAAGGTGCCCCGGTAGTATGTGCACCAAGATGGCCCACAACCTGAACATAATATGTGTACCAGGTTAGGGTTCAGGTTGTACGCCATCTTGGTTTGCATACTACGGGAGCGCCAAAAACAATGAGGTAATCCAAAAATATATCACTGCGAAAGAATTGATTTATCATGCCAAGACTATCAGTTCAATGAACTGCTTGTCATCTCTCGAGTATTGCATTATATTATACGTCATAAATAGAAATCCCAAGTTGACGACAGACGAGACATGCGCGAGTGCTGGGTGGTGTCGAATTTCATTTTGGCCGACTTTTCTTAAATGTGTGGTTTCACATACTGTAGTATTATAAAGAACAAACTTAATAATGTGCGCCTGGAAATAGCAATATGCATCTGCTGAGCAGATGTAGCGAAGCTTTTGTTTGCATGTATAATAAAGACTTTTTGAAAAATATGGTCAAGCAACTAAAATTACATTGTAATGGCAAGATATAACTATTGCCCGATCACGCACTCCAGGTATGGTTGTCCGCGCGTCTCTATGCAAATGCCGTAAATAATGAATTTCGTAGCTATAGCACACTAACTGTTGTTACAATGTGCATTTTACGTGTCATGAGTTGTGTGATTTAAATAAATTTTGTTAGCATACTATCTTGAATGCGCGACTTCGCAGCAAATCATGATTTGTGTTAAAACGTTCAAGATAAATAGACAATGGCGGATTCACGATCATAGACATCAATTTGCGCCTAAAATTCTGTACATTCATATTTTTAAAACGTTGAATAGTATGATATAAAAACAAGTTTGAAATTATTCGTTTCCATTTTCAAAGGAACCCATGTTAGGCATTGGTTTTGTATATTCATGTCGAAAAAGAGATGTTGTTTAGCCCGGTGTATCTAGAGAAATTGGACTCTTATATTGATTGTTTGGATCACGCTGCAGAACTTGCATATCAACATGCTGTGGAAATAGGATTAGATGTTAAAGACTCCCCAGACTTTACTCCAATTTGTACAAAATGTATGAAAAGACGGAGATTAGATTTTGATAAATCATTATCGGGGATACAAGATGATGTTTTCGGGCGAAATAACGAATCTAAGGGTACAAGTGAAGTTGATAATTCGTCGAGCTATCAGAATGAAAGCGCTTTATCGTCCGCGAATTCATCTCGATTATCAGTGTCGTCTTCCAACCTGACTAATCCGTATGACGTCACAAAACCTGTTGGACGTACTGGAAGTTTGAAACGAGACAAAAATAAGGTTGATAGTACGTTTATGTCGGTGATGCTTAAGACATTAGTAACGCTGAATTCCTCGTCGGAATCGCTAAATTCCGCTGACTCAAGGCTCAACCGAGGCATGAATGAAAATTTACGGTCAAAGAAGAAGGCTTACTTAAAGCGAAGACATACTACAATATTAGACGAAAATGTTTTAATGCTGTCTGCTAACGCTAATGCAGCTGTCAGCAGCAGAAAAACCAACACACAGGCGGGAATAGTAAACAGTGCGATCAGCGACGTATCCGAGAAAAAGGAAGACGCCTCCGCTGTTTTGCGTTCTAAAGTTACGCGGAAACCTAGACCGTATAGTTACCCTAATCAGCGTTATCTACAAAGACAGGCGACAGCGCCAAATCTACAAGATAACAAAAACAATTTGTCGCGTGTAAGTGCGAAAGGCAGACGCGACCTTCAAGCGAAAAAAGGAAAAGCTGTCTTATCAGAAGAAAATATGGATAACGCTGGGTGTTCGAAAGTTATAAGCGACAGCGATGACAAATCACACAGCAGTGACGAAAAATTGAGCAAGAGCAAACCTATCAATATCAAAGTTGGTGCAACTAACACTGAGGGAAAAGCGCATCATATGTACTACAGTCTATCACCAGCAATGTTAGATGCACCGTTAAGAGTTGAGGATCTCGGATCATCAGAAAGGGTTGCCGGCGATATAAATATTATCAAAGAAGGCAGATTAAGTATGGATGATTTAAAGACTGCTGGAGAAGAATCGATTACTTCTCACGATTCCAGCCTTTCGTCGAATCCTGAATACTTTTCAGTCATTTCAAAAAGAGAGAAAAGGAGACAAAAGAAACTCGGTGCAGACATATTAGACACCGGATTTGGAAGTCATTCTCTTCCCGCCAAAATTTCAAACGCCACCGATACGGCTATTATCTCGAGTAACAAAAATAGCACGAGGAAAGCGGGTGATGAAGCCCAGACTATCGACCTGCAGAGCCGGTTTGTTGGTCATCCTTTCAGTCATTCATTAGATGATCTGTCAGGCAGTCGGAAAAATATTTCTAAGTGCAGACAATTTGAGGATGAAAATTTGTTCAACGAAACAGATGATACATTAGATGAGGGAAATACATCATATCTTCACGGGGACGGATTACTATACACGAGCAGTTTTGGAATAGGAGATCATTCGTGGTGTACTAACCTGGCTGAAAGTGATTTAGTAACAGACGGATACTGTAAATGCAGCTTTTGTAACCACGATATGATTTTTACTCCGATGAAGAGCGAGACCCACGTCGTCCCACCCAAGACTGACGCATACGAAAAAGACTTTTCATCTATCCACGAGGAATTGCTACAGCTACGAAGTTTCAGCACCAGTGACAATTCAGTTACGTCATTCAGAACAATACGTCACGAACCAAAGTCCGATTTGCAAACAGATCATTTCCCTTACCCGCGCCTACCTAAGGAATTTATGACGTCACATTTAGAGGACAGTATGGCGTCACAATTGGATATATCAATGGATGTAGCTTGCGGTGATGACGAAAATTCATCAGTTCGATCTAGTCCCGTACAAAAGGTATCAAACAAGTCCGTTATTATTTCCTCTAATTATCCGTCCTCGATTGCTCTGGATATGGCTGTCCAGACATTAGGTCGAACTAGTATAATTGCAACAAAGTAAATGCCTCGTAAATATGTGCCAAATAGCACATATTTCGATTCGGAAACTCGCGCTTACAAAGCAGATCGCTAGTGTTTTATATGTTTCGTTCTCATACGCGTGTTGTCGACGAATTGGCTGGCATTTGGATGTTCCGATAGTACAATCTTATTTATACAATTTGGTACAGGTAAAACATTTGCATAAAAAACTAACTCGTTGTTTATTTTTCAGGCTCTCCAACGAGACATCGAGAAGCACAGTTCAGGAGTAGCATCAGTGCTGAATCTATGCGAAGTTTTACTTCACGATGGTGATGCTTGTTCCAATGAATCAGAGAAAGATTCCATCGAACAAGCTACGAATAGTCTTGACAGAAGATGGAGAAATATTTGTTCGTTGTCAATGGAAAGAAAATTGAAGTGAGTATTATAAACACGTTCTATCAGCTTTAAAAATTTCCAATTTGCTGATACCGATATGTACCAGGTTAGGCCATAAGTTTATTCCGATTTTCTTTAATTTTAGTCTACTACGAGTTCGAGGACCGTCTGTATTAGCCAAGTGAATATTCCCCTGCTCATCATTCATATCGGGCGAGTGGCCCGGACCGATTTTTGATTTCAGTTACTTTACACGATTCGATGTAAAATAGCCGAACTTTATTTTGGTACATGTACTTATGGAGCAACTAACAAAAACAAACAACCTGGCAGAAATTCCTGCTCCTATTTAAATTGCAATTTCGGACCCCCTTTCACCTATGCGGGGGATGATATGGGGACACACAAAATTTACACGCACGCTTACTGGAATAAAACCCTACCACGATATGAGCCAAACGTTTCGATATTTGAACGTAAAAAAATAAGACGCAACCAATTGTTATATTTTTTGTACCAAAATGCGTCCAGCTTGCATAGTATAGCAATTTTAGGAAAATTCTGATCTCCCCGAATGTGCGGTCTTCTTGCATCGAGATTTGCCTTTGTAAATCTTTTTGCATTCCTATTCCACTTGACTAGATACGCTTTCGCCGATCTTTACCTATTTGTTGCCAAACAAAAGACTTATAAACACAATCGAACGCTTTCAAAATTGTCTGCAAAAACAAATTGAAAATTATGTGAAACTAATGGAATATGCTTACTATTCCCACTATTTTGTATTAGTGGGAGTAGTGAATCACAAATATTACAAAATATTTCTTTTCAGAATTGAAGAGACTCAACGATTATGGAAGAAATTTTTTGAAGATTATTCTCGGTTCGGTGATTGGTTGAAATCAGCAGAGCGTGTAGTTTCTCGACCAAACACATTCATGATTTCATACCAGGTTGCAAGAGAAGAATTGAAGCGTTTCGAGGTACACTTGATTCAAAGTTGTAATATGGCTCCCACAACATCTAATACTTTTTCACTCATTTATACTAATAATCATTAATTGCGATTTTGGTTGTTAAATCATTAATTCTCTTTGTTATAAATCAGCAACGTTTAATATGATACCACAAAAGATTAAATTTTCATTATATTTGTCTTGCTTATAAGGTAGAATATCATATTTATTGATTTAATTTGTTTCTACAGTCCTTCCAGCGACAAGTACACGAAAGCCTGACACAACTTGAATTAATAAATAAACAATACCGACGACTTGCAAGAGAGAACAGGACTGATGCTTCTAACAAGCTCAAACACATGGTAAGTTTCAGGTTATGAATACGGAAAAATAACTGTAGTAATAACTGAAGTAATTTAATTATTCCATTATTATGCATAAAGTTCGGTCATCATTTTCCCATAAATATATATTTGCATTACAAATGACGGTCGCCAAAAATTATTTTGGATTTACAATAAAAAAATATTAGAATAAATTGCCTCACTGAACGTTTGAAACATTTAATTATTAAACAATAACTCGTGTTAATGTTGTTTTAGATTCACGATGGGAACTCAAGATGGGACGCGATATCTCACAGAGTTGCTAGCATCTTAAGACGGCTCAAGTACGCCATCCAGAGGAGAGAAGGATTTGAAACGAAACGCGAATCTCTGCTGGTTTGGCTGACGGAGACTGATTTGAGACTAACCAACGTGGAACATTTCATGCAATCGGAAAACTACGATAAACTTAAGGAAGTCAAGGTACGTACATTTCACCCCGCAAATTTTAGTAATAACAGGGGAATAACTTAACAGCACTCGGGATGATCGGAGAATTACCGAGACCATATTATTGTTTAAACGGCTCGGTGACCAGACATTTGAACCCACGTACATTTGAACCCATGAGTATATCTGTGGGTTCACTCTGTATGCAGGTGCTAAAACCCATGGGTTAGGGTTAGTATCGGTTCAAATATCTAAAGAACAAAAAATTGCCAGAAGTGCAATAGAATGCAGGTGCAATTGTCGTGGGTTCAAATGTAATGGAACCAAACGGTCCATATCGGTGATGTAAAACCAAATAAGATTATGTCACTTTTTTAGAAATACACTTCTCCGATCTTCCATTAATATGAACCAGGAACCCATTCTGTCTTGGTTTCAAAGCTGTACCTGTTCTAGTTTTGATTTTAGGTAGTGCCTTATGTCCATTTTTGGGTTTGGCCGTATAGATCCTAAAATGACAAATATTCTATTTTCTCAAAACCTTAACTTGTTGTTTTACTGCGGCGTGTGTATTTGGAATTACTGTAATAAGCCTCATACCCCATAATAGGAGATTTGCATTTGAATATATTATAAGGTTTATTATAAACGGACGTTTTAATCAAGTCAAATCGACCAAATTGTTAAGATTATTTTGCAAGGGGAGACTTTAAATGACCGCGAACATTGCTCTTACGAGTTTAATTATCGTTAAATTATTATGCAGATACTGTTACATTTTTAGGCAAATAAACATACATACATACGAGAAATTTACCATTGAAAACGTTATTACTAGTCACTGTGAGTTTTAAAATGTTTCGCTATTCGCAATAGCCGCGTATACGTCAGACATCTTTGCGATTGAAAAAACGACCAGAATAACAAAGAATTACTATGACTCGTAGTATGTCGCTTGTATTACTTCAACCGACACCACTTAAGTACAGAGCTCAGGATAAACACAATTTTAATAGTGCGCGGGTATTCTGGTTCAAATTTTTGCTCTAAATTACAGGTGCTGCGACCGAAATAAGTTACGCTCCAGCGAATAAGTAATTCCTGTTATGTATTGGATTATCCTATTTACTTTTGCGCGATATTTAGCCTCATTATTGTGCGTACACTGGGTTAAAGTACTTAAGCGCTCCAGGCGATCGAATTGCGCATTCATTTCCTTTCAAGAATTTGACGCGTTTCTCTTACATTATCACAACACAATGCCTATGCTTTGTCAGACGATAGATTATGTGTAGTATTTAGTGAACATCGCGTAGTAGAAACGTCCATTTCGATAACAGACTACACTAAACGGTAAGTACATTTGTGCTTAGATACTCGATGGACTAATTTTTCAAATAAAACCACCGTATTATTGTTAATTTTTATTCTCTATTGGTATGTTTTCGAATGCCTAAATTTCACTACGAAATAGCAAATTCGAACAAATACGGTGTCGTACTTGAGTCATTAATATAGAATACTGCTGATAAATAGGTACGTTCTGAAGCCTCATTTATCGCATTGTACTATTTTGGTAGTTTAGCTACACGTTCTACAATTATACTAGCGTAATGCTTGAATGACAAGAAAGAATGGCGTGTTGTTTAGTGGTTACTTAAATAGGCATGTGAGTTTCTATTTACTTTTTCGTTTATCGATCAATTCTTCGTGTTTGAACTTTCCTAAAAAAAATTCCCAGGTGTTTTGCACTGGAAGATTGATATATTTTGAGATACATAGCTTTAGTACAGGTACTCGATTAATCTTTTGTTAGGACTTAGCAAATTTGCAATTTTCAAACAAACAAAACTATGCTAGTCTAAATCACGCGTCAGATGTAGATTCCTTAAGCAAGTGGAACGTGAGAAAGGCTTGTCTTAAAGGCATGTGGGAATAGAAAAGACTGCTATATTTATTGACTTCCCTGCTGAGGCATAATTTGCACCTCAGTTCTGATTAATGATACCGAGCCTTAAATAACAAGGATGTTTTAAACGTGCGATGTTGTGCATCGAATTTACAAACTGTAAACTGGATATTTAAGTCACGCGCTAATTGTTTTCAATGCAAACATTGGAGCTAATATTTAACTCTTCCATACGTTTTACCAGTTTAACCACACTCGACACGCGTAATGTGCTCCTAATTGCCCTTAATATTGCCGAGGGCGATATCGATTTCATTATTATAGGTATTAGCTTGAATAGTAGAGTTAATAGTGATGCGAGCATCTTGGTTCGGAAGTGCGTCCAAGTAAAGTATTGAGAGTGTCGCGTTTTCATGAGGTAGTATCGGCATTGTACGTCGGCAGGGATAGCAGTTACGCGTACAACTGAAGTATGAAGTTTTAATTAAATAGGCGAATATCTATGCGGAAAAGCTTCATCAGCAGTAAAAAGAAATAATACTGGAAGTGAGCCTGATAGCAACCCCCTCGCTATTAAATATATGGTTCCATTACATTTGAACCCACGTACATTTGAACCCATGACAATTGCACCGGTATGCTATTGCACCTATGGAATTTTTTTTGTTTCAGGGATAGTTAAACCCATACTAACCCTAACCCATGGGTTTTAGCACCCGCATATAGATTGAACCCGTGGATATACGCATGGGTTCAAATGTACATGGGTTCAAATGTACGGTCACCTAAATATATGTTTGATTATGACACTAGTTCAGACTGAATTTCACCGTATTCGCACCGTAGGTATATTTTGATGGCCGAGTTATTGTTACATGGTGTATCACGAATATTACATAATGAAAATTTAGAGATATCCGCGACTTTGCCATAGGAGTAATTTGTAATATAGCACCCATATTAAATAACACCAGATATAAAAAAAATTTGATATTTGTCTCCAACGGGCGAAACGCCAAAATCAATAAGCGGTCGTGGGTTAGGTTGGGTGGAGGTGCCAGACAGTTGTAAATTATAATTTCACTAACTCCGCGTTTTTATTGCTGTAAATCAAACGATGGGCGTCGCATGCGATATTTTGTTCGTTCACACCGGTAGTGCATTTGGGTACAATATACGAATAATATCACTATGTGATGCATTGGGAGAGTTTCAATTTGAGTATTTTATATACGGCCGCATTACTAATATATCATGTCCATACCACGTTGCTGCACCCTATAATTTTATTACTATTCGTTACACAAAGCGCTCGCGACCCACATAGAATTCATTGAAAGCAGTTTGTCAAAATAAACCAATAAAATTCACTTTTAACGCTTTTTAAAATATACGAAACGTCAATATTTATGCGTCTTTCATATTGTTCCGCTTGAGTAAACCTTCCGCCAAAGTACATTCAAACGCCTTCAACCACGTGACCACACTCCATTGTACCTCGTTTACTCCTATGTTTATCTAACGCTAAGTACGAGTGTTATAGTTGATATGTATCACAATCTATCCAGTCCAGAGGCAATAAAATTACGGGTTACGTATTGGAACTCTTGTTTTTGAAATGGTATATGACAGTAAAGGCTGCGTTTTGAATTTAGGTTTGCCTGGCGCTTTGTTATATTCCAGATACGGATAATATTTGAGATAGTAAAGAGAATTTCGATAAATGATCTTTTTTTCGCGAAATTGCAAGTATATTTGTGAGCTTTCGTTAGATCACAGACTGACTTTTACAAGATATAACTTCTTCGAACAGCGAATAATATAAAAACAGCGAATGGATTTTTTGATATAAAGTGTAAAATAAAACGATTATTTGACTATGTTAGAGGAAATAAAAAATAACCGAACTTTCTATGCGCACATATGATTTGCCGGCATTTATATTACTTCGTCAGATTGAGATTCAGATATTTATTTTTCGTCGTGCAAAAACATTGTACATTTAAACAAATGGTAAAAATTAAATAAATTCATTGAAAGAAAAAAGTACAATATTTGAACTGCAATGGACGTCATGCATTGTCCATACGCAATGGGAGAGGCCTGATGGCATTGACTTCCGCAGTAAACATGAGTTAAAATCGAATACTGTATTTTTCTTGTTAAACACGACCTATTTGTTCTGCACGTTGTTATTTTTACACGATGTTTCTTTATAAAAGATCGCCATACATGGGCTGTACATGTACAGCATGCAGAACGCCTGCAGCCCATACAAGTATACAAACGATTTCGGATTAAACTATTCTGAAGAACACTTGAATATGACACGTCGATTATCCTGCCGTTCGCTAGTAACACGGAATACAATTTGGTACCAAATTACTGATAAAATTAGAATGGCGATATTCTTCCCGACAGTGCGGTCTCCATTCAAAGGCTTGATTTGGACTCATATATACAAGTAGTTGGTAGTAGAAGGTAGCAGAATCAAGCAAGACAAGTGATCAAGCGTCATTCGCCATTCGCAGTACCCAATAATTATTATATTGTTTTTATGTTTGGTTTGATGAATTTGACCAACTACTTGCGGGATGAGCATTATTAGATAAAATGGCAATATCATAGTATACTATGTTAAATTGTAAGCTTTGAATGTTAAAACAATCATACAGATTTTATATAAAATATGGATTTTAATGAAAATACGGCTGACAATGAACGTGAACTAAGCTTGCATATGGTTCTGGAAAGTATTTCGGTAATTTTTGTCACATTTTCTTCTATTTTAGTCTCTAAGCGAATTATATCGAAATAGCTACAGTGGGTACAATATGGATTTCTCGAGTTCAGGTTATATTGCCTCTTGAACTGGAGAGCTAAACTGAAATATGTAATGCGAGTGTCATCATTGATTTCAATGTAGAGTTATGACGTTAATGCTTGCTGATAATACGTATTAGTTTTTATAGATTAACTTAAACTAACCCTCCATTTCAGAACTTCCAAGCAACAATTGAAGAACACATACCTCGGATCATAGAACTTGACGCAAGAGGACTATTTCTAATTGAGAAGAGTGAAGAATCAGATTGTGTCGTAGTTGAAGAAGAATTATCAGAACTGCATCGCTATTGTCGAGAAGTCATAGCAAGGCTTGATCGATATCACAAAAGGCTTTTGCGTATTATGGTAAGGCCATAACAATGTGAAATATTTGATTTTTCGTGATCTGTTAGTATAAAAAGGTTTTCAATTAGTTCAATGGTTAGCTATGTGAATAAAACTCGCTTCCAAGACACAATTTGCTCTAAGGTGGAATCTAGCTCTGTTGATTCATAATACCTAAACTAATATCTATTCAAAACAACGCTTACAAACAGCAACCTATTGGGGAAATGAATTTCAGAGGGGTGAACACGCGCCTATCTATATATATATTTCCAGTTCAATCCAATTCCTAAAGCTGTGTTTGGAGCAATGGTATGGAACACCCGATAAGAGAGTTGTCGCTTTCTATTGTTTATTTCTTAAATATTCTCTTGGATTTGAATTAGCTCAATTATGTTTTAATTTGATAAACATTTGCAATACACCTATTTTATTTTTCAGAACGAGCCCCAACCTCTTGATTCATCCTTGTTTGAAGATACAGAACTCGCACAAATGAGTTGGTGGGAAAATTATATCAGTGGAACAAGTGAGTAACGTCTTAGAGATGATTAGAATGACAAATACTGACTGAAAGCAACCATTACAAATGCATTATAAACAAAAACTGTCTGCTCTAGTGACCTCTAATTATTAACGCAATTTAGTCATAACAGACTTTCAAAAATATTGTGGTATCATCTGAATGTAAACAAACAAATGATTAAATGTGATTACTGTCAACAAATTTTGTAGGTTCTTCCAGGAACAGCAGCCCTTCTTTACAGCCGCCAGACCATGACCGCTTCCTAGCAACACCAAGAAGTCAAGGAAGTGATAGAAGGTCAGCTACAAGTCACAGCGGAAGGTATACCGGTATTTGTGGTTACTTTTCTTCATAGATTATAAGAAAAAATTTTTGCGTATGGGTTGGGTTTCAAAATAGTCACAAGCAGCCGTTTTTTTATTCTAGCCCAACCAACAAGATATAAATATTGAGGAAGTACATTTATGCACAAACAGATCTCAAGCAGCCGATTGTTTGAAATACAAAAACCCATATTTTAAAATTTTATTTATTCTGCCATATAAAATAACATTAATGGGGCCCATAACTTATGAAGCAAGAACTATTGTTTGCTAACGATTTGTTTTCCTTTCCAGAGCTACACCTGAGAGTCTTGAGTGGGACTTATACGATATCAGCCAGTCCGAGCTAGAAACAAAAGATGCGGGTGCACTAACAGATGATGGTTCAATACCGGGTAAATTTTTTGATTTGTTTCTGAATTACATATGAAATCGGAATTCTCGATTTTTCTCATAAACATACTTTGGGTTACTGTTATATTTCTAATTCATATTCAGCGCTCCAGAACTGTGCGTGCCAATATGAAGGTAACTGATTTTGTTCACCTACTTTACATCAAGTTGTGTAAAGGGACTGGTACATATGGGCAGGGGGTATATTCACTTGGTCGAACTCATAATAGAACTAAAATAAGGAAAATTGGATAAAATCATGGCCTAATCTTAACCTGGTACACACACTATGGGAGTGCCAAATATTCAACAAACAAATTTACGAAATCATTGCTAATTATAGAAATTCCTATTTTTTGTCTGACATCTTAATACTTGGAATGACAAATTTTCAAAAGTAAAATAGTTTAAATAACACAAATGAGTTTTTTTATTGTATTATTAACAAGAAATAGTTACCAGTTTTGAGGGCATGTACTTGCTTCTTGTATATGATCCAAATATAAACTCCATATTGAGTAAAACATCATATATCCCTTTTATATTTTCAGAAATTTCACCCTTTGAAACAGCAAGTGACGATATTCCACTTCTTCATGTATCAAGAGACAGTACTGGTACAAGACAGGTATGTATTATTTCCTATAACCTCATAGCTGTAAAAAAACTTGATTCGGTTAATGCATTATACCAAGTTTCAATAATACGCGTCACACCACAAATTACCCAAGTCCAATTACAACCATATGTGTTTTAATAATTTGTAGGAAATTGCCCAATTTGCATCCATGCAAGATGGTTAACAGGTAACGTAGCCACTTTCGGTTTCCGCAAATATATAAAACCATGCCCATGAAACGATTGACTGGATAGCTGGCCGAAAACATCACATGCACTAGACCTAAAAGAATACCAAGCTTTGCCAAATTATTGGTGTACTTTCCCCTGGATTATTTTTAGTTTTATATAAAGTACAATAATGACAGAAAAATTAAAATTCAACCATGATATAATTTCATTGCCGGTTTTTTATTCAACAAAATAACTCCATTACAAATTTTTTCTAATATCACAGAGTAACATAAGCAGAAGAAGTCATGATGTTTCAGTATCTCATGAACCTGATGATCTGTCACCTGCAAAAAAGCTTCGTACTTCGCAGGATGAAATGACCCAACAATTCATGAATGACCTCATAGCAACCTTAGCATGGCTAGATGCAACTACAAAGGTCACGAACCAGGAAATGAAAAAATCAGAATCAAAATTTGACAAAACAATAAGCGACCTTGATCAACAATCTATAGAGTTGAAGGTATGTATAGAAGTAAAGTGATAGAATAAATATTTGATTTCGATAGGATTTACAAATACAGTGATTTTTGTAAAAGGAAACTTACTAGTTTGGATTTTTTAAATTCATTTCACAGTAAAAGAAAACATAAACTAAGGTGTGATTATTTAAAATGAGCACCATCATATCATTTCTATTAAATTTTATTTTTAGAGTTTACAAGCTTCCATTGAACAAAGAAAAGCGATTGTTTTGTCAATAAATCTTGTGTCATCATCCTACTCTGGTAATTCTGATGTCACAATAAAACTGTCAAGCATGAATAACCATTGGGAATCGCTACAACAAACATCGATGGATTGGAACAAAAGCCTACAAGAAAGCTTATCGAATTCTCAGGTAAAATACAAGTTTGCCTGAACAGAATAGATTTTTGTTTCAACTAAGAGGCTTTGGTCCATATTGTTCATTGTGAGGCATAACGTACTACCAAGTTTATGATTCTGGAGCATTAAACTGGTAAAATAACTATTTCATCTGATCTGGACTGGTAACCAAACGGCGCTTCACCTCATGATTGCATTCATATCAACTTTCCTCTTCCACAGGATAAACCGGAAAAATCTGATATCTTAGATAGGTAGATACACTACGTAAAAACTGCAGTAATTTTGATTATAGATTAAAATGAACTTTTCCAAATGTAGTTACTGGTACTTCTTTTATAATTTCTCCAGCAACTTTGCTGATATAACTCCATACTCTGAAATATAAATTACCTTTAACTTCAATAATCATATATTTTTAGGAATTTCAATCAACGCTTACTGAATTGTCAGCATGGGTTGGTTTACAAAACCATCACCGTGACGACATGAACAAGATTCAGCAAAAAGAAAATGCTGATTCATCGCCAACATCAAGAATGCACAGATTAAGGAAAGATCACAAAGTACTAGACCAGATTAGAATCGATACATTAGAAGCAATTTCAAAGGTAGGAATAAAAAAATTTCTATGATCTATTGTGAAGTGTTAGAGTTTTATATGGCACTCAGTCATGCCCTATGCTCTAAAGGCCATGTACAACCATTCATTAATTAATATTAAACAACATGTAACTCTTGCTCAAAACACTGGGATCCTCCTGGTGAAAACTGAATTGTGGTTGTGTGGTCTAATGACATCATTTCTCCCACATATTTATTTTCCATAAAATCCATTCTCAATAAACTGCAGGGTATTCAGCTTTGCAAAGGAAATTGAAAGCATTGAAATTGAAGCATGTTACTTAGCACGATGTGACATTCATGCATGGTGCATTATGCACAAAAAATAACATGGAAATAGATAGAGGTTTAGTATCAGCTTTAGTTATGTTAATCTTGATAAATTTACAACAATGGTCATGTATTTTTTATAGGTAACCTCAATGCAAGATATCTGCATCAGACTGACAACACCGGGCGACAAAAATCATCCAGTAGGTGGCACAAGAGCATTATCAGAAAAAGTTCGCAGCACGAATGGCCGGTTGAAGGCGTTGCTCGATGCTGTCAGATCAGATTTGAGAGATATTGAACACAAAATCAAGGCTACAAGAAGAAGAGTGGTGAGATCTTAGTTTTAACAACTTTAAATCATGCATGGCTGTTTTGGTTCACAGTTTGCAAAAAGATGTTGGCCAATTGGTTGAGCCATGTTCACATTATTGTCTGCCTTGAACATTAATCAACACAAGCGAGCGATGCTTAGATATATATATATACATCACCACATGGTTCAGATAAAAAATGCTCTGGAGAGCCCAGAAAAATGGTAGAAAAAATGAAAACTTGTCTCAAGTGACTTGTCCGGTAGTTGAAGATTAAAGTGACAGCATGAAAATAATTTAAATATTATAATTTAGCAATCTATAATGAACCTGTCTCTTGCTTTGTCAATCACAGAGAGAAGAAAGAAGTTCTGAATCAGACTCTGAGATATCAACAGATGGTGCATTGAGATCAAGCACACCAATCAGACTAAGGATGCTGCAGAGAAAGGTGGGTAAAATTTGAGGGGTTTGGGGGGGGGTTACGTTTATAAAAAATACATAGTTTTTGCACCGGGGAAGATAGCTAATGATATGAATATATGATGATGATGGTATGAACACACAAGTAAACGTGACGAGTAATCAGAAAATAATATAAAGAATGCGGAACCTTCCCCTGTACCAGATGTGCATGGTTTACTGTAATTCTGACATAAACCAATTACGAAACAGCATGGAAGTTTAAATTGATGCTACTACTAAGCTTTTACATTGAATGAAGTGTCACAAATTTACTTCTAAATAAAGTCATCGGACTTGTTATTACTGTATCTGTATTGCAATATAAAAATTCGAACCCAAATATTCCCCAAAATTTGAGAATACCCATTATACACAGAAATTAAACTGTTTATTTTTTTCTTTTTCTCTTCTCTCACTCTCTCTTGATCTCTCTCACTTTCTTGATTTTCGAATCTCTGTCCACTCCTATCAGGTTGAAGCTTCGGAACTCCACAGGTTAGTTAAAGTTCATGGGTCAAAGGTTGTCAACCCAAAAATTGCATGGGTCTTTGTTTGTTTATTTTACATTGAACATCTGCAACGACGATGCTCTTGTTTGTTTAACATATTGGTGTCTTCAACTATAATGTTCATCGCATGGTTCATTTAAATTGGCGTCTTCAACTATAATATTTTTTGAGCAGTTCGAGGTATTAACATTGTCTATGAATGGATGTTGCTCATTCTTTTGCGGATTGGTGCCAGGAACTACTAACAGCATACTTGGTGTCTGTGCATGTTTTCATATTGAATATACCAAGACAGAAATTATGGCCTTTTGAACACTGAACATACAACTCAATAAAAATGGCAAATTTTCACTACACCAACTCCGAAGTATTGCATGAAATGTGCTTCAGATAACGCATGTACATGTGTATGAATTCATCAAAGAATTTGGTACAAACAAGACTTGAAAATGAAATCAATGGGCAGAAAGCATGTTAAAATATTTCTAACTTTTCGAAAAAAATTACATTTCTGGTATTAATAAGCCAGAAATTATGACAATGGTCAAAATTAAAACCAAAATCATGATATGTCGAGACGAAAAATTTTATATAAATCCTATAGTACAAATATTATGAGCTCTCAGTCAGAGCTGGCTTCTACCAAGCGTAAGCCTAGAAGAGCATGAGATTATCAACTTCACCGAACCAAAAGTAAGTGTATGTAAGTGCTGCTGCAAAATACAAGGCTTTCATACGATGAATGGACACTAGGTAACAGCTCCTAAATTCGTGACAAAATAACATTGTTAATATTCAATTCTGAATGACTTTGATAATGATTATGTATATATACCTGTTGCTAAATTCTAAGCAACAACAATTTTGCCACCCAAAACCGATAGTTTGAAAAATGTATCTCTTCTGTTCTGAGCTATTATGTGGTTTAATTATAAAGAGAAATTATCTATTTTTGGCACTGTCTGTTCCATTGAAAATTCGTTTAAAACAATTTAGCATAGATCTTGAAGTTGTTAATACAATTTGACTGAAGTTTGGACTCTCCATAGGGGCAATTTAGTAATGTTTAGACCACGAGTACATCGTACTATGAAATACTCGAAGCCTATTAATACCGATTTAAAAAAAGTTTAATACAAATATGCTCAGCATAAACCACAAAGTAATGTTGAAATACCCAAGCCACCATTGTACATTATAAGACAACTCCTAACAAAGCATAATAAATGGGCTATTATCCCCGCTTCAATAAGCAGTTCAAAATCCACCAATCAGCACCCACCATTTGGAGTACGGTAAATATTTGACTAGACATTTGGAAGTAAGTGAATATTGATATCAACGATCAAACATGAACTACAGATAAAGATTACGACGTAGTACCAAACCATACATGGTGTAGAACAGAATATCTATACCTTATTCACAAATTGTAAATACATGGATTTGGAATTTAATATGCTAGCTCAGCTCAGACAAGGTAGCGACTATATATTTACTTGCAGTTTAGACGTAATACTGGTTTTAAATTTTTATAAGATTTTTGTGCTGAAGAAATTTGCTTTTCATTTTGAAAAATGTGGTTTTGCATTGGCGCATTGTGGTTGAGTATTTGATGTTTTTGCTGAGAATGATGGTATAGATATTTAATATAGGGATTTAAAATAAAACCTAAAATATTACTGTGTTCCCATTGTGATTTTTAGGATCTACTTCATTATATTTTTAATGGGAACACTATGTTGATACTAGCTTACCAGTAGGGCACAAATATTTAGATTTTAATGTTAGGTAGATGTTTTGCTTGAGTGGAATCCCAGAAAGTAAAAAGGTAAGGAACAAGATCGAATCAAATTGGAAACTAGTTTAAATTTGGAACCGAGTTAATGCTACAATAATCGGTTGTGATTTTGAAGAGTCATCTTCTAAAACTTTTCCTACCAGTTTCAAACTGAAATAAGGATCAATAAGGCAGAAAAATCACACCTGGCATAGAAAATCGTGGCATAAGTTTCAATTTGATTGGTCAAAAAGTAATTTAATAATCCGAATTCTTAAAAACATCAACCATCATCCTGCTATCCAAAATTCAAACCTGCTATTCAAAAATGAATTAAAAAAATTGAAAGTAAATTTCTTCAAAATTAATCATTATTAATAGAAATTTATTTTGAATTCCGTAAAATAGGCATATACGGTTGTTGTAGAAAAGAACTAATTGCATATTTAAAATGATATGCAAGACTAAATTCTGCAATACTGAACTGTTCAAGTGCAAAGCAAAAACCACCTTATATGCATAAAAATTGAAAAATAAAGTTGAAGTTAAATGCTGCATCATGATGAAAAATTAAACAATTTTTGCATATAGGCAAAGGTGCCCGAGACGAACTATGAGAGGACTTGAAGGGGGAAATATTTATTCCCCCAACACATATTTGGCTTTCCAAACTATCTACCAATTTTCTTGAATATCAAACTATTGAATTGGTGACCATTCCAACAGCTGTATATATCAAGTTAAAACCAATTTTGGTGTACTTTGGTCAGTCTTTTTTGAGATTCAGTTAAGTTGTTGATTTATTGTTTCCTGCTGATGAATTTTGTTTTTTGCTTTTGCATGAAATCTTCAACGAGGTTCAGAAAATTCAGTTGTTTTTACAATTACTTTAAACATTTTACATCTTCGAGAGATTCTTCTCCTTTCCGTTTGCATGCTTCAGAGAGCATTTTGGCTTCTGTTTCTTGCTATTTGTTTAACATACATCTTCAGCTTTAATCTCTTAAGCTATATTGTATTATTGCTATGGCTACAAATAACGGCAACATTAACGCCCCAATGACTACGTGTTCCGGTTACGATATCTTACATTTTATGTTTTTCGTATTTAAAAATAAACAATTGAATCATTTGACTGAATCAATTATTTATTTGCTCAACTAATTAAAGTAATTCTATTTTTAGCTCCGGAAAAAATCCAATTGAAGACCAAGAAATGGCAACGACTCAACCGACTGACAAATTTTCCGACTCACCGACGAAAGGACTTTATGATGTCACTCAAGAATCGTGTTCTAGCATTGATGACGTCACACATAAATCTTTACATGCTCGCTCCAAACTAAGAAATCAACGACAATTAGAGACAAAAACAGTTATTGGTAAAGCCGTTGCTATGAAACAAACAACGGTAGCGGCAGAAAGGCGTGGAATCACAGTGGCCATGTCAGCAAAACGCACAAAAACTGGTCGCATGGTTACAACCGTTATTCCTTCAGAAAATACCAAAAAAGCAGGACTTTGTTGCCGTGTCTGTTTTGCCGCTTTTCCCTTTTATTTGTTAATGTTACTTTTATTTTTACTACCTTGGTTCCTGCAAGCCACATCCGACGATGGATTTGCTTGCCTTCGCCAGAATAATTATGCCTTTTCTTTTACCCCTATGTTAACATACACCAATGGCCCACCTCCTGTATAGAATTGTATCAGAGAGATTTATTTTTTTCATGTTTATATTTTATATGTAGAAATAGTTCACAGGTACCGATGTTTTCACAGCCAATTATTGAATCAGTATTTTATATACATATCGTCAATAAGTAATTTTGCTGTAGTTTTAGATCATTGTTAGACTATAAAAAGTGGCGAATATTCTCTAAAGTACTCGTTTACCCACTGTGAATGATTTTAGGACCTTGCAGTTTCATGGTTTATGTTTGTTTCCGAACAAAGTATTTATATTTCTTCCGTTAATACCATCGCCATTTAGTGGATAATTTGTCATTAAGTTATTTTGACATCTCTATCATTTCAAACAACGATCAAAAATTTTGGCAACAAAAATAATAAATACTTTAAAAGGAAAACGAATTCTCAAATGCACTTTTTTTAAATAAAATGATTTCGGTGACAGTAGTTCTTATTCATAGTCACATGTAGAATTTGATTCTTTTGTATTTGTGTAAATAATAATTTAGCAGTATATTACTCCCTTGTCCATTACTTTTGTGATTCTGATAATATCATTTGCATCATTTCTGGTACTTTGTGTATTGTATTTGGCTAGGCAAAGGAGCATTTGTTTCGAATTCCTATAGATAATGATTTATTTGAGATAGAGCTCAATCTAGTGAAGTGAATCCTCACGCTATAGGGCAATCCGGAGGTATGTGAACCAGGATGGCGGACACCGGAACGTAGTATATGTACCTAACCTGGCTAGGCCATTATTTCATGTACAAATACTACAGTCACTTGGCTAGCCCCGAACTCGTAATAGAACTAAAAAATGAAATTATGGCTATGGCTCACGCGTTAGTACTAGCTTAAGATATGGCGTATTGTGTCAGATCTCGCGATATACGTAGTAATACGGAGTAGGTAAAAAAATGAAAAAGTGATACAGCGTAGACCAGAAGTTCTCAAACTTTGGTGTTACGCAGCCCTGGAATATGTTGACTATTATTCACGGGGCCCAACAACATTTTGAAATTGTTACTTACCGATTAATATTTCCGAGGTAATTAAAATCAACTTAAATGTTTAACCTTCTTGATAGGGAATACAAGCCATGAATAAATAATATAAATTTCCGATAAACTATATATATATTCAGGCTGTAAATTTGACATATATATTAATAATTTCGAGGTCGAACCCCCTCTCTTTCGATATTTTTAGAAGACTGGAAAAATCGCTAATAACGTGCGCGATTGCATTTTGTTGAAATTGCGGATTGTTTTCGGCAGCGTGGCGTGTTTTTTAGTCCGTAAACATCTTTACGTCGGTGTTTATTCTCTCTAAGTCTAAAACACAAGTTTCCCTCGGCATATATGCGTGTATTGTTCCACGCGGTCGACGATGATTACTTTTATGTTCAGTGTGGAAAACAAGTTAGTATATTATATAATCATCGGCGACGATATGCTAAAAATAATTACCGTAATAAAGAGGTGAATTCGTAACCCAAATTATATTATAGCATTATAAAATATTAAAACCTAAAACGAAATATAACGCCATAAGGTTTGTTTTAGCAGAAATGTTGAAGATGTGTGGTAGTCAGACTTTGTTTCATTGTTTCTCATTTCATCTCCGCGTATTGCCGCGGTAATTCTGATTAGCATTGATTTTATATCGTCGTAATTCCACGTAATTGCAGGTTACATTGAACACAATTAATGCCCGCATCGGTCATGGATTGTGTTGTCATGACCCTTGTTTTGTCACAATAGTGTCGGAGGCAGGAAAATCAGATGTTTTTGTTGTATAAATTATCGGCGCCATATCGAGGTTGATAATTTCAAGCACAGCTCTGCAATTAAGTATTCTCTGTCGCAAATTTATCACCTAGTGAAATTCAAACAAGCTCTGATTTCGCATTCTTACATGTATGTCAATCTTCGATTTATCCGCAAAACTGTGTTCATGAATAAGGGTCACGAAATTTCCAATTCCAATTTTGAACCCTTTCCTTTTAAGAATCCTGCCTGCGGTCGGTAGTTTGATTAGTATATTTGTGCCCATCCCGATTAAATCATAATCGCAATCATGACTGACTGTGTGGCAGATAACAGCGATTTAGCGAATTCGATAGTTCTTGAAAATATTACACGAGTATGCATTTTAGTCTCTGTAAAATTCGCAGTGATGTTTTTCTTACATTAGGGTGGAGGTAATCTCAGTATGAATTTTTTATAAAAGTATTGGATACAAAGAATTCCGGTGACGCAACCTAAGTTATCAGACTTCAATCATTACACGGCAATTGAAATACATTTGGTGCCCATTTAGGGTTCAATAAAGTATATATTTTAACTTGTTTTTGGTCGCGATCGCAGTACAATTCAATAGGATACAATCGTACAGGGTAATCAAACAGTGAAGAATTAGTATCATATATAGTAAATTAGCATGCACAGAAATGTACTTATCAAGTGTGTAACTTAAATTATATTAAAACTGATTTGTCATTGTGATATGGCTTGGGGTTATTTGATTCAATTATATCCAGTGAAAAAACAAGTTATGACTGTTTATAATTCTAAGAAAGTCTACATTACCCAGTTGTACTTCGAACACTTGTATGAACATGACTACTTGGTGTACCTGTACACGTGGACAAAGAAACATTTGGGCGCTTTCCCGCCAACGTAGTTTATTCAACCTGACGGTATGGCGCATCGTAATGGACCTCACTCACCTTTGACTCCCGGGAAATTCTTCCTATACTTTACCATTGTAGAATTCTCGATGCTCATTTTATGAATAGTTTTGCGAGTTGGCACCTGTAAAATGGGGTATTTGTTTCAAACCATCATTCTGATTAATAGCATACAGCAATCTGATTTTTAAAAGTACCGGTAAAGAATTTTAGCCTAGTCTATCAGAGCTATTTCTACCCTAATTTTTTATAACTGCGATTAAACTGAAAGTTCTAGGAAGACAATTGTCTTTAAAGTGATCATTGAATTATTTGATTTATATTTAAATGTCCAAAACAAAACTGAAAACTAACGAATATAATTTAAAAATGCGAGGCATTGTTTACGACAACGCTTGGAAATCTGCCTGAGTGAGAAAAGTGTCTAAGGCTAAGCGGATGCACTGAACGTCACTTTTTGCATCTTCCTGATTGGCCAACGTCACGAAGTAAACAAGGAAGTTGATGCTTCAAGTAAACATCCATAGGTTTCACGAATACGCTTGTCATCGCACACCTGATTACACTGCGCAAGTTTGCATCCAGTGTGGGGATAATTATGTCCGAAAAGATTGCTGAACTCCTAGTAGCCACAGGGTGGTACACGTAACCGCTGGTCAGCTACAGCTTCCTCCGCGAATCTGTAACGAATAACTGGCTAACTGATTCTGAACCCGACATGGACTGGTGGGAGGCTATGGTTCGCCATATAATAAAATCGTCCTATCCGTCCATCTCAAATTTTCAGGGTGGTTGTAACTTCACACAACAACCGAAAACGAAAAATCGCACACTGACCTGCTCAAGCGTATGTCTTCCACGTCTTAAATATTACTCGTAACTCAGTTTTCGCCTATGATGTCACAAATGATAAACTGTTTGAGTGCATTGGGTTGTCATACTCCAAACAAAAGTGCAATGGCGTTTTACTTCAAACCTTTGTGTTAGTAGATTTTCGTAATTATTGGGCACGTAAGTGGACATAAAGATCGTTTTGCATTTTATCCTGGCACTCTTCTTCTTATTTGAATATTTCGGTGAGCTGCATGCGATTCGTTTATTCGATTGCTACGACGTCATCCAAATTTGCCACTAAGTGACTATATATTTGAGCGTAGTTCTCTTGTTATAGTTACAAACGACAACTGATATTTGTCATATTTTAGACTCTCGTCAACACCACCGACAGGAGAGGGGACGGGATCTAGAAAAGGGAAGTCGTTTGTAATGGCTGCTTTTGGTTCTGACTTCAGAGCTTTCCACTTTAGTTAGATCATTACTTGAGCAATATACAAGTTTAAGGCATTGTAATTACAAGAATTTATCATTGGACACGAAATAATACAGATGGATCGTTTTGTTACTGTATTATTCATCAATCAATTTTATTTATCTTTGATTACTGGATTAATTATGACAGTATGAGTGGAATATTTGTTGGGCTCCTCATTTTACGGGCAGTTCAAGTACCGGTACGGTTCAACTGTTGGTTGGCATGCAACTCTTCACACATCGATCGGATACGAAAATATGATGAGACTATTTTATCCTGTGGGTACACTGACCTTCTTGGCCGTGTATCTTTCAGCGCTCCCGTCATTCCGTGTACTTATACGTTGAAATTACAGTAGTTCAATGTCAATTAATCCGGCATTGTCAGTTTGTCTAGCATATGTTCAACGGCAAGTGCATATCACAATATTCACGTAGAACTCTTTCTTAAATTCAGCAACGGCACATATAAAAAATTACCCTATTGCGACTTGACGTCTGAATCGATGTTAAGCTTCGACCCCGAACGAGCCAATCTTCAGGGTGAATATTACGTCTTAAAGTAGGGGTTCCCAAGCTTTTTTCAGGACGACCCCAAAAACAACTTTCAAGTGTCCAGTGCGACCCCAGGTCAATATATATATTTTTCATGAAACTTTAGAGCTTCTTTCACAGGACTTTTAAGTTTGTTCATGTGGTGGTATTAAGTAAAATAAGCTAAACCAAACAGTTATGTCACACTAAGCACCTACATTTTCAATAGTATAAGCATAAAGCGATGTCTATGGGCCTGTTTTACATTAAGCCCTGGTACAAACTGCTAAATTTAACATGGTTTGTCAAATCTTAGATGAGTTGTATTGTACATTCATCCTCTACCATACCTCAGCGACCCCATGACCTGGTTGCGACCCTACCTATTTATCACTCCGACCCAATTTGGGATCGCGGCCCCCGGTTTGGGGACCCCTGTCTTAAAGAATACTCAAACCATTTTGCTCCTATGACGTCACGAATAAAACTATCCGAATGTGTTGAGTTAACAACAAATAAAAGTGCAATGGCGTTTTACTTCGAGCTTTAATATTAGTAGGTTTCAAATACCTATTGAATATACGACGACTACGGGTTTTTCTGATTTTTCAGACTCTTGGCAACACCGCTGTCATCGGATTTAGAAAAGAGAACTCGTTCGTAATGCTGTAATGGCTGCTTTCAGTTCTGATCTGACTTCAGAAAGTTTCGCTTTAGTTAGATTATTACTTGAACAATATACAAGTTGAAAGCATTGTAATTACATGTATTCATTATTGGACATGAAAAAATACACATACTGACATACATCGTTTTGTTATTACTGTATTATCTATAATTTCCAAGGGCACTTGGCATTCTGGCATTTGACTCCCAACTATAATCAGCTTGGCAATATGTTTTCAATAGAAACTTCCTTTTATATTTTAATTAACGATTAGAAGATCGATCAATTTGGCAATGGCAACCATTACAAAATTATCAATATAGTGTGGCAAATAATTTTTTTCTTTTTCTAGTATTTATTTATTTTTTTGTTTACTGTATACGGGTAGTATACCGTACCCTAAATTTATCACGTTTTATTCTTACTTAAATAACTTCTCAGTGAGTAAACACGTACCACTTCCTCTTGGCAAAACCTTCCATCTTATATTTTGTACGTTATAAACCTTATCTAAGGTTTCGTTTGCTCCCCTGATTTCATAATCAGTTTTTATTTATTTGTTTTTATCTGTCAAATGTATTGTTATGCTGATTATGGAGTCAAAATAATCTTATACTTCTAAACTTATACTTATAATTTATCTTGTAAATCCCAGTTGCCAAACTCAAAATACAGATATATAGCGTAACCGGTACCACTACAGTACGGCACACTATACAAATCAGGTGACATTGTCCCGTTTCAGAGAAACCCATTTTACAGATGATCAGACACCCCTCCTTTGGGAGACGTCTGAACATTGTTGTCCCTCAATATCGGTAATAATGAAGTTGCGCAAAATACTACAGAAAAGCGCACTTTATAGTAACATCATCATTGAATTCCTTGGGAAAAAATAATCCGATTTACCGAAGGAAAAAAAATTTTACTGTAGCATTCGAGAGTTTTTAGCAGAAAACGGCAATTTCGGTCATGTGACGGCCACGATTAATTTAGATTTTTATTGAGACAAGCATGGCACGATATGAAGCATCTGACATGGTCCCAGACGCCCCTCGTTTGTGAGACACAAGCCCATGCTTCTGAAACCAGTAATTGAATAATACCGGTACCCGACAAAGACTGGTAGTTGGGCGAGAGGTTGTGGTTCGCCATAATCTTTTAGCTGTTTTATCGACTTCCATGCTTTCGAAAACAAATAACTGGCTAACTAATTCCATACCCGATCTGGACCGGTAACCAGACGAGAGGCCGTGGTTCGCCATATGGTTAAAATAAGCAGAATATATGACGTATTTTAATCGATAATGTCCAGATGTCTGAATCTTGTTCATACAGCTGTTGTTCTTAGTTCGATCTGAGTCAATTTTAAAACAAAAATAATTCTGGAAAGAAAATGGATAAATTGCCGAATATAATTGAATTAGATGACTCTGATCCTGAATCACCAGACCAACCTTCAACTTCTCATGATACAGAAGATCCCACAACATCTCAAAATGCTTCACAAGCACTAGTTTTACCTGGCACAAGTCAAGCTTTAGATCTAAACTTTGCTCGAGGTCTGGATTACCTGATGGAAAATTCCCGAAAGCATGGAGCTGTGATAGCTAAGACTGTGATTATTAATCAAAAGCAAGGTCAGTGAATCATTTCATTTATCTATAAAATATCCACCCTGCTAAAAGATTAATGCCTCATTGTATTTTATTCAGGAGATAATATAAATACAGACTGCTATATTACGGAAAGTTCTGGCATTTCATACGATAAGGGCAATAAAAACAGAGAACCTGAAGAGTCTTCAGCTGGGGAAAGTGCTTCTTCTGCAATTCCAGAACGAACTAACCCAATCCCAGGTTTGTACTGAATCACAGAAACATATTTCAAATGTTTGGAATGATTTATTTTCAAGACAACTTTTGGTGCCAAACATAAACACAGCTTTAGTATTCTTGTACTAACAATTGTTTATGTTGTGAGAATTCCATATGGATTTCCTTTACCACATAATACATAGATCCTAGTATGTACTAATTTGCATAGATGTTAGAAGCAACTACCGTATGTTACTTACTGTTAGAAGTGAGGATTTCTCAGTATTTATATTACTGTATACTTTTTGTGTTGTATATTTCCTAAATAATGGAAAATAATGAAATAAAATTTAATAAACAACACCTGCTAGTTGAATTGATTAATGAACTCTTTTATTCGGAAGAACATTTATATATATATATATTTATAGAATTGCTGGAGAATTACACTGTATGCTCAAATGATTCTTTCAATTTATAGTATAGTAAGATATGACTTTTATGGGCTATTATACTCAAGGTGCTACTGTATTCAGAAAGACTGTCAATATGCAACCTGCATGAGGTATTGGATGTGAACATGAGGTCTTTAACCTGCACACCAATAATTTTAGTTTCACTACTCCATTCTATTAATATTATGTTTCATTTTTTTGGTTAGAATAAAATATTTGTGTATTTTGTATTTAAGGTTCAATCTCTTTGGGCAATTCACTCTACATGCTTCATGGTCAACCTATTTCCAAATATGGAAATGTTTATAAAGGAGTGAAGATTTATGGAACTCCTGGTCGAGGTGATATCGCCGTTAAATCTTTGAAGTACAGCAAGGAGAATGAGAGGGAAGCAAGAATTTTGGCCAAACTCAGTCCTCATCAGAACGTTGCCAACATTATAGATTCTGGCATTTATCACCTTGGCCCAGTCGAGCATATTTTCATAGCAATGGAACTATGTGGCCCTGAAACTCTGACTGGCTTTATAAAAAGTTCAAAACAAGTCAAAAGAATCAAGCAGATACTAAAGCAACAACTTGTAAATGGCATTGCTCACATCCATAGGAATAATGTCATACATCGTGATTTAAAACCTGATAATATCTTGGTATCAGAACATGGAATGCAATTAAAAGTGATAGATTTTGGATTGAGCAAAGAAATGACCCATGGTCACTCTGTCACCCAAGTGAGCACTTTAGGCATTGGTACAGATGGTTGGAGAGCCCCAGAGACATACAATGACAATGTCATATCCAAACAAGCCGACGTATTCTCACTGGCCCTTGTGATACATTTCATTGAGACTGATGGGAGTCACCCATTTGGTGATGACCCTGTTGGATGGAGTTACTTGATAAAGAAAAATCAAGGATGTGACCTGAGCAAACTGGGAAGTGAGATGAGGGATTTAGTCGGCTGGATGCTTCATCGAATTCCAAAAGAGCGACCTACTTTGGATCAAATTCAACAGCATATATGCTTTGGTGGGGAACTGGTTTGCCCATTTCCTAACCTATGTAAGTCATCTGTATTTGCTGTATTGAATAGGGCTATAATAAATAGAAAAAAGAATTATTTCATTTTAAGGTCTTAGTTATCCATTTGAATTTTCAGAGGTAGGAACTGATTGAATTATAAAATTGAATTTTCATACAATGGTCCATAGCTTATCCTTATACTAGTAGTCGTTGATGGGTTTTTGAAGGGCATGCTGGGGTTGTGTTTTAACTTGATAACAATTCAAGATATTTGTACCTGTCATGTAAAACCCTTTTAACCTTGGAATTACAAGACTGATTGAGATAAAAACGTTTTTTGGCTTTGTATTGTAATTTCAGAATTCCAATATGTCCTATTATACTCATTCACTTAATTGTATTGCTTATGTATTTATTAGGCTTCAAGCAACCTCAGACAGTGGAAGAACTGAAACGACAGAAAGATGAAGCAGAGAAAGAAAAACAAGAATCAGAAAAAAGCAGACAACAATTAGAGATGATGATGCGTCAACAATCACAAGAAATGGAACAAACAAAGAAAGAAAATAAGGAATTGAGACAAAAGATGAAAGGTGACGAGATGTTTTTTTTGTTTTATCAATATGCAATTTGCACCCAATCAAGTATGGCAAATTGTTGTGGCAAGTGGCAAAACCAAGCTGATATTCTAGAAACTCTTCTTATTTTGCAAAACTCCAACACTTGAGCTGACTTATATTGTGGCCTTGGATTTTTCAAGCGTTGCATAGTAATTTTTCATATGGGGATCCAATATCCTATGTATGCGTTTATACAAATACCGAAATTTGCATATCGCATGGCAATGAATTATTCGAATGGTGGTTCTTGGCCATACTACCTAAAACAGCCTGACCGCCATTTTCAGGCTAATTCTATCAAATAATATTCCAATTTTTAAATTTTAAATCCAAATGTCAACCAATACAATCATTGCTTGGTAAGGATGTCTTCAGAGATTGTGACTTTTATTATCCACAGAATCCCAAAAGTTATATTTGTTATATCAAGGTAAGCATTCTTGAGTTGGTGCAAGATTATTCTTGTGAGTGATGTTTTGTCCATGCATTTTGATTGGTTTAAAAGGGCATGCAAACTACAGCCCGCAAAGAAAAATTGTGCGGCCCCACAGTGAAGTGCCAATTTTGAATGGTGTACCCGTGAAACTAGTTTTTAATTCAGTTAATCTTGTATGTGCTAGCAATCCCGATCTTTTTGCGTTGCAGTTCCACTGTCATATTGGTGGGACTAGCTAGCAAATTCCTGTTGCAAAAAACACAATGTTATAAAAACGTGTTTCTCACTGAATTCGTTAAAGTCGGTGTGACACTCAATTTTTAACAGTTTTCTATAGAAATTGCTGAATTGTTGATCAACTGTAAATACTGTAAGATCAACAACAAAAGTAAATTTTTTGTGCTTGCAACTACAGTAGAAACTCAACCTACAAAATTAATTAGTTTCTGAAGGCCCTTCGTAGATCGAAAATTCCCTAAATAGGGACACATTTTACCTGTAAATGCTCTAATTCGTTATAAGCCCCTACAAAACTCGGACATAATATTAATATGAATCATAATAATGGTTGAACCCGTAACCACGAAAGTTTATCTTTGGTGTTGGCCGACTAGACTAAGCTAAACGAAACCTCGGCGGGCAGGAGGACAGCGGCCGGAGGAGTTGACCGCTGAGAGAGAACGTAATGTCTGAAAATGAGCACACACAGCAAATTCAAAACTTTTTATTAATTTTTTCATTGTATCATCGTCTTCTCGTTGAAGTCCGCTAGCAACACATTGTACATACTCACGGAAACAAACGGGCTGCCAGATAATTTATAGACGTGTCGCACACTGCTGTCATCGTATTTGATAAGAAAGAAAATTTTTAAATCAAAACATGGACGGCGGCGCTAGGATATGTAATAAACATATGTAATATGTTATAAACACGAAAAACGGTATTCGAGGGTAGCGATATTTGAATATTAAATTCTAATTGGACATCCCTTCTTCGAGTACAGCATTAAATTAACCTAAAATAAAAAAATTTCAGCAGAAAAGCATAAGGCAATTGCAGTAACATTTGAGTAACATTAATCTGAGTAAATATTTGCTTGTTTTTGTTATTGAGTAGGCCTACTAAAAGTTGAGAATTAGTTGTGTCAATAAAATATTAAAAATGCATATATCAAACTGTTTATCATTATTAGTGTGGGGCAAGGGTCTTGGAAAATTTTAATATATTAAAAGGGGACGCGAGCTCAAACGTTTGGGAAGCCCTGACGTATTGATAATAAATGAAGCACAACCGGTGTTAGCAAAACGATGTAATTTGCCGACATTTCGAATTTCTATACAGAAAACTTCATCAGGGCATTATATGGAAAGGACACAAGTGAATATATATAGAGCACTTGTGTCCTTTCCATATCATGCCCTGATGAAGTTTTTCTGTATAGAAATTCGAAACATCAGCAAATTACATCGCTTTGCTAACACCGGTTGTGCTTCATTTATTATCAATATGAGTTTACCTGGTGGCAATCATGCACTATTTAAGCCCTAACGTAGATAACTAAAGTGAGCACTGAGCATTAAATCACTATTGATTGTTTATATCTGGCTTATTGTTTTATAATTCTGAACTTTGTGATATTTCATCGAAAACATAAATACTGGTTCAATATTTACCATAATTAGGAAAATGGGTGACTTCCACTCGGCTCGAGTTTCCAGTATTCATGATTTAAAAATAACGAGGTTGAAAAAAAATCCCACATCCGACACCTCACCAGCTCCCACTTTTTGGTGCGTGGTTTAAACTTGGTTCAAGACCATTGAGCAGATTTATTTACTGAATTTTCACTCGACTCCCGACTTGCCCAGGGAGTGTCTATAACAGAGGTAAGAGCGAAGGTGTATTTAAGTGTCATATAAAAAAATTCAATACTGCTCAAATCCAAAAGCATTAGTAAAAATATAATATCCAACTTGGGATCAGTATTGGGCATGGGGGCTTAGCGATTTCGTGGATTTAAAAATTACAAAAAAGTTGTTCGTTAATGTATTATGTAATATCGCAATATGTATAACTTGAATCCTGCCTAACCCTTTTCACTAAAATAATTTTTCAATTTTCAGAATCTCAGTCTTCAAGTCAAGCTACTTCATCTGGTCTAAGAATCATCAACCAGCAACCACCTGGTGGGAGAATGTCAGTGGAAAAGTTGGGTGAATCACTGCCAGGATATTTTTCGAGGACTCTTGCTATCACCTACTCCTTCCCTGCTGGAAGTCTGAATGTGAGTCATGTAATGAATTCAGTTGGCTGAATATTAAATTATGTATTTAATGGAACCAAGATTCTTGTTGTATTAATTTACATTGATTCCCAAATAGCAATTGAATTCAAATTACACATTGTTGTTATAATGTTCACTTCAAAATGGCTCTGTATTAGCAACCGCTAATGCATAAGAAGCTATTTGAAGCTTTCAGGGTCAAACCACTCCCCCCTTTCCATTTTGAAATTTTCGGAAAACTGAGAAATGTGTGATTTTGCTGAAATCGCCGTTTGTTTTTGTGCATAACTTTAGTGAAACTCATCGGCTTTTTGTTTTATTGACGTTCGAGAAAATCGAGGTAAATTGAGTCTTCTGGAAATTTACCTTGGGGTAAATCGAGTATAATATGCATAAATAGCCTCTCCTGCTGCTATAACACAGGATTATGCGGTTCTGTGTAACTATTTTGAGCCCTAATACTTTTCGTAGCCCACATGTCAATAATATAGGCTTCCATTTTCAATGCATATGAGTATGAATCCACAATGGGCAATCATAGGATTTTGAGAAAGTAGTTCTTTTCTTGTTACTGACAAATTATTAAAAAAGAGAGCTGTGGACAAGTCAAGCACAGAGAACTACTCCACCAATAAGCTTAGTGCATCTACAAAGGCTTTAGTCGATTTACGGTTTTGTGGTAATAAGTTTATGGCAACCTTGCGATCAATCATATCAAGTTTAAAGTGGTGCCAGATAATTTTGTTTCCTTATAATTCCTTAAGTATCCTTATAAATAAACTATATGAACCCAAGTTTCTCGTGAAGGTTTTTGATTTGGTTCTAGGACTTTCTTGGCTTTGAATTAACTAGTAGATTCTCGAAAAATGAGTATACTGAGTTACTGACTAAAAAAAAATTTCATTTCAAGGCGACTTGGATACATTGAATAAGATGCAAACTGCTATGCAAAGACATACGGAGTCAGAATGTAACAATGAAACCACAATTTCAGGGAGATTCTATTTCACTCAGATTTTACATCGCGCCAAAATGTCGAAAAGTACTCAAATAACTCCCTCCTTTTGAAAATCCTGGCTGTGTGCCTGATTACATAGTATCGGAATATCGGCTTTGTGTAATATCGGTATCAGCGTTTTTCATCGGTATCGGTGACAAAGATGGTACTGGTACATCTCTAATCCAAGTTTTGAACTCTATCCTAATCACGAAATGTAAGTTAAATTGCATTTCATTACTATATATCTGTATAGTTTCAGTAGTTTTTGGTATTTCAGCCTGTAAATTTGCTCGGAGATGAATCTCTGAAATATTTCATTATTTTAATAAATACCGGTAACCTCTCATCTCAATCAGTGGTGCCTTTACAGACCTTTGCTTGGGGTGAGGGCGTGGAACATCAGATTTATTTTTCACTCAAGAGGCAAGATTTTTGTGTATCAGTAAAATGTTAGTGTCATCATATTCTAAGTCTGCTCCCAATTATAGATATATTATGTTTGATTTCTTTTTTGAAAAATTAAAACTTTTTTTTTGAATTAAATATTATGTAAAGGCAACTCTGAACAAGGTGCCACTGATTCTGTGTTTTCCGATTTTTTCGCTTGTTTGCACATGTAAAATATCATTGGTTCAAATGTGACCTTCTCCTCACCTAGAAGTCAAACATTTTTATAGCCAATGTTTAGCAAGAAAA